ATATCAGTGATTCATTCATTCATTCAACAAACCTTTATTCATTACCCATAATGTCGCGAGCTCTATAACCTTACCAAGAATCAAAGATGAACAAGACCTAGTTTCTTCCACAAGGACCCCATCATCTCAGAGATTTTCTTATTAGCAAGCAAGTATTGTTCAAGTAAGTCTTGTGAAAGAGGCATGTATTTGAAACACTGAAGAAGGACACTGAACTGACTTGGGAGTGAGGAATGGTTTCAGATAGCTACCTTTTGAAGCTGAGCAAAGAAGGGTAAGGAAGAGCCATTTAGGTGAAGAGGCAAGCATGTCAAGAGGAAGGTACATGTGAATAGAGGCTAGTGGTTACACATGACTGGGTTACACAGTATAAGTGTAAGTGAAGGCTGAGGGAGGGTGGGAAAAGGTTGGAGAAGATTGTAAAAGGACTGTTTGGAGATGAAACTAAAAAAGACAGCAGGGCTAGATCTTCAAAGGTCTTAACAGTTTTGTTAAGAAGAAGAGGAATGATTCCCTTTCAAGCTCCAATTGTGCTATTATTCACACGCTATACATTTTCTTATTTGATCCTCACAGAAATCCTTCTAACTAGAAATGATTCTAATCGTTCAACAATTTTTAGTATGCAAAAACCAAGGTTCAGAGACAGTAACTTATTCAAAGCCCTGCCGTGAACCAGGCGGCTCTCAGATGCTTGGGCTGAAGCCTGTGTTCCCCACTTTGTGTTCCCCGCCACCCTGGCTAGGGCACAGTAATCTGGGCTCTGTCCCAGGGACAATCAGGAGCACTGAAGCAGGCAGATGATGCAATGATGATTATCACTAATATGAGAAGCATACAGTGTGACCCTGGGAGAAGAGCTGAGAATGGAGACTGGAACACTAGTTAAAAGGATAATGCCAGGAAATCAGCTGAGAGCTGATCTGGTCCTGAATAAAGGAAATGGTTATGGGCGTGAAGAGGAGGCAAAGGGCAAGTTGAAGGTATTTGCAAGGGAGTGGCGATAATAATGGACTGAGGGATCTGAGTGCAGCAAAGCAGGAAATGAGGCTGTGAAGAGGTGATAGAAAGTGAAAAGTTGGTCAAGTCGAAGGGTAAGAAGGAACACTGATGGGAATTTTGAGTCGCTGATCCAGGCCTACCTTTAATTTCCCAGCTAAGGCAAATTCTTCCCCAATTTTGACACAGACCACCATAACCCTGAAGGGGTGGGGCTTCCACAGAGTTCTATCTTCTTGATAAATCCTACTCCATGCTACTAATGGTTCCTCATTCATCATTTTGAGCTGCCTCAGATACTAGCCTCCCCACTGTGCCCTAAATCCCCCCATTAACTTCAGACTCTTACTCCAGATACTGTATACCCCCTTTCCACCAGTTAAGTTCTATCATGTTCTGTGGATCTCATGACCAACCCTCAGCAAAATCCTCTATATTCCTATAGCCTCAGACTCTCCTCAAGTCTCTGCTTCACCACCTTGCTCTAATCGCATTAGTGGATCCTGAGGACATGGATTTGCTGTAAGTCTTCTCTCAGAGCAGCTGCCTGCTTTCCCCCACCTCACACTCCTGGCCTGGAAGTGAGGTGGGTTTGCCATTATGATTCCCTGAATACTGTTCCTCCTTCCTCAGTAAACATCTCTGGTTCTTTGAAGTCGGTACCACCAGGACTCTGTCGCCACTACCCTTTCTTGTTGTTTATTTTTCTTATTAACTCCTTTCACTCATGAGGATTTTCAATATTTAGCTTGCTTACCACCATCTTTCTTATCACCAATAAGTCTGTGTCATTCCTGTTGACTTCAACATCGTGTAAATGATCCCTTAATACTTACTTCATCCAATCAGTTTCCTGGTCTCCTCACCTTCCCTCAATGTCCTATCCTCCAAAACCATTTTTGCCATGCTCTGGAACCTGATATTATCATTATTATTTTCTGGTACCAGCCCTCTACAATCTCAATATTAATTATCACATACATGTACCTCCTTTAGCTTCTTTCCTTGAACAAGTTAAAATAACTACTTAGACTTCTAGTCACTTCCTGTCATCCCATAATGGTCTCAAATCCCTTGGTCCAATCACTGTTATCACTTATTCTATAGCCTCTCAACTCCTTTGACTCCTTTTTCTTTCATTGTCTACAAACATCTATCCAGTTAAATCCCTCTCTCCATCTATCCTATGTCTCCCTCAACATAAAGTGCTGAATGTAACTGATAAAACTCACAGCTGATTGGTCTCAAGTTATAAAAAATAACCATGAGTCTCAAATGGGCTCTCAATGCTACCCAAGAAGCCACAACATTTACCCTGTCAGTCTACATACTTAACTCCTACCTGCTGAGCCCATTGCATACATTCTTTTCATTCTTTCTTCATTTAACCAAGGATTTGTCTCTTGTATGATTGAGGAAATGGAATCAATCAGAAGAGAACATCTACATCCTCCCACCAGCACATCTACCACCCTATTGCATTTGTCCTTGTGTTCTCTGGATTGCCTCCTGTTATAAAGGATGGCATGTTTATGCTCTGATATAAGACCTACCCCTCCACTCATGCATGAGATATCAACCTCTCTCACCTACTCAATTGCTCCTGCAATTATCTCCTGTCTCTCATTTCTCATTTTACTGAATAATTTCAGTCAACACACCAATATTCTGGAACATCTCCCATTTTAAACACAAAAACACAGCCTCCTTTGACCCTACATCACTCTTTCACTGTCATCACTTATCTATTTGCCTTTACAACAAAATGCTTAAAACATTGTCTCTACAATCTCTGATTCCTCACTTTGCTTCCTCCCTTGGGCCTTCTCCCCTCGGCGTTTTGGACCCATCATGCCACTGAAACCACTCCTGTCTGGGTTACTAGTTACCCTCATGTTGCCAAATGAATGGTCAGTCCTCAATGTAACTGCTCAGCAGCACTAAATACACTTGGTTCCTTTTGGGAAGAACTTTCTTCATCAGTGTTGTGATCTGACTTCGGTTCTCTTCATACGCCTGTGCCCTGTCTCAGCCTCCCTTGTTGGCTCTTCCCCCTCTTCCCCATTTCTGAGTACTTAGGGTGCGTCACAACCAGCCTGCTTTGCTAAGTACATTCACTCCTGGGGTGACCTCATTTCTTCCCTCCTCGTAGTTTTAAATACCAGCTACACATGTGTGTATATTTTTATGCCAATTTTTTATCTCCATTCATGATCTTTCTCATTAAATCCTGTTTATATCTGACTGCCAGTTAGATATCTCTCCTTGGATGTCTAATAAGAAAGTCAAATTCAATATGCCTAAGACCAAATTCTTAATTTATTTCTTTCAGGTCTGCAGTTAATTCAATCCCTGTTCATCTGGTTTCTCCGGCCAAAAATATTGCAGCTAATCTTGACATCTTTTTCCAATTCATTAGCTAATCCTATAGGCTCTGCCATCAACATATATTCTGAAGCTTTCAATTTATTATCTCTACATTGCCAGCTTTGTCAAGCCAACATTACTGGCCTTGACCACTCACTTTGACCATTGCAGTGGCTACAGCATTGAGCTCCAGGAATATTCTTCCTCCTCTCTCCTCTAATCAGTAATGTCCTCAGGATCTGGTCCCCCAAACTCTGAAGCCTTATCTCCCTTCTTTGATTCAAGTTCGACTATACTGCATAAAGTCCCTGGATCACACCAAACACTCTCCTACTTTAGGGCAATTGCACTAGCTCTTTCCTCTGTCTAGAAGGTTCTCACTCAAGACATTCATATGGTTCATTCTTTCCCTTCATTCAGATCTCTACTTAAATGACTTTCCTTGAGGCAGGTCTTCCTGAAAGGTCTATGTCACCATTACTCTCTATCCTGTTATCTGATTTCATAAATTCATACCATTAATCCTGCCTGATGTTATATATTTATTTAATAACCTCTCCACACTACAACTTAAACTTCTAGAAGAAGGGGTCTTTAGATGTTTTTGCACCCTTGGATTCTCCATATCCAGAACACATGTGTCTGAAACGTAATAGCTGAAGGAATAAGTAAATGAACAGGACTTTCATGTGAATTCTGGATGGCATAAAAACAGGCTATGAGATTGACCTCATCCTAACTTCATATTTAGAATTGAAAATTTTGGCATTCTCACATATTTTCACTTGTCTTCTCTTCCCTAGAACAAAACATACCTGCTTAGAAATCTACATGTAAGTAGAGAAGATGGGATGGAGGTTTTGTTATTAAAGTACAGTAACTATTGACCTTTACCAAATCTACGTGAGGTCTTGTCATTCCTTTGCTTAAAACTGATTATTTCCCATTGTTCTTTGACTTACATTAAAATTTCTTATAACAGCCATGTAATCTGACCCCTGCCTAATTCTGGCCTCATCTCGTACCAGTATCTTTCTTGTTCACCTCACTAATGTCACAGCAGCTTTCTCTGTATTTGACCTGGGTCCCAACCTCATTCCTGCCTCAGGGACTTAGAACTTACTCCTCCCTCCGCCTGAACACTCTTCCCTCAGACCTATACACAGCTGGCTTCTTATCTTTCATGCCTCAGCCTCTAAGTATAAACCCAAAGTGGCCTTACTCACCACTCTGGTTAACATTAGCTCTCCTTTCTTTACCTCAGAAATCCTTACCTTTACCTGACAACTCTATTATTTTTATATCATTATTGAAATTACTTTGCTGATGCTTACTTGTTTGTTATCATCTTCCCTTTGTAGAATATAACCTTTGGAGAGTAGGGGACCTTGTATACCTTTTATATTAGTCACGTGGCAAGGGCCTGCCTCAGAGTAGATGCCACATGACTATTTGCTGTGGAATGAAGGCCCAGGAGATACGTTTTAGAGCTGGTTGGTGCCTCTATCACAAAGTTCCTTTCCAGCTTCATTATCCAGGCCCAGGTGACCAGTAGCTGATTAAGGCTATGGTATCCCCCTTGCGCTCTCTCTGTGTGTCCATCCTCCCTCTCCTAGGAACTCCAGGGCCGTTACCTTGATGGCGCCCGTGGCTATCTGGATATGGTGCAGCCGCCGCAGTGTGCTCTCTCTGTCAATGAAGTAGGAGGCTGCCAGTTGATGTAGGGTCTCTAGGGACACAGCAGAGCTGTTCCCACTGCCCCCGACTATAGGTCCACTTCCTGCTGTCTCTGTCTTTCGACTCAGTTTCCGCTTGTCCACAAAAATGGTCAGGGACTCTTCTCCTACAGCAAACAACATGGGTTCATTGGTGAGGCCTTCTGCTCCCTAATCCCTTACCAATAAGAACATGAAATCATTGGCCAGGATAGACGGAGCTAAGAGACAGCCTGTTGCCCCTGCTGATAACCTCTCCCCCATCCCTTATCATCTTTAGAATGATCTAATCAGGCTGTGGCACAGGACAAGGCCTCACTGACTGAGAGGCCTGCCTTCCCCTCAGTTCTTTAGGTCTCCTGAAGCTCATCCCTTGCCCCTCCAGCTTATCCATTTAACATTCACTATTGATCTCTATCTCAGGCTATCTACCTCCATGGGGGAGGTAGAATTCTCTCTGTCAAGTTGTTTATGAGAAGCCACCATGGATATTTCTGCTCCTGCAGGAAAGGCAAAAGCCTTGAAGCTTTACCTCGCTCCTCCCCATCAAACACTCAACAGCTACCTCATGCCAGCAGCTGGCCTTAACCTTTGGAGACTGCCTTTTTGTCCATCAGACAGTGAACTAAATGTTATAATAAATCCTTCTTTCTTCTTCCCAGGGCAGAGGGAACTCTGCTTCTTTGGCGCTTTTGATTCTGCCCTGGGTGCTAGCCATAGGCTATGCCACCCCCACTCCCACCTCATCCCCATTCAGCCCAGAATCACTGGAATTGGTTTGGCTGGTTAACAATATTTATAAAGAAGAAGAAGGGCTCAGGGGCTTAAAGGACATTTTCTTCTTTGCATATAGGTCTGACAATTAGAGCCACACCCAGTATAGGGATGTAGAGATGCCTGGGGTTAGATGGCATGGTCAAAAGAAAACTGGGGGCGCCCCCTGCTGGCAAGTACTTAGCAGGAGCCTGTCTGTTCTCCAACCTCCTTACCCCACACCCCCTTTCAGGAGGATGCTTATAAACAAACAGCAATGTTATGAGTGAATGTGGATGTCAAGAGACTGAACTGTTCACAAAGGCACCAGAAAGAAAACATTTCTCAGATAATAATCAGCTAGGATGAACAAGAGACCCAGGAAGAGTACTGCAGCTACACTCAACGGGTCTTCAAGCGCTCCTAAATGATCTGGGCAACCAATTAATACAGGATCCCAATGTCGCTTACCTCCAAGGGTGGCAGAAAGCAAGAAATGAGTGCCGTACTTCTTGATCAGGTTTTCTGTAACCTGTTGCAGGTTGGGTCTCCTTCCAAGGAGGCGGATGTTCCGGATGAACTCTGGGGCAAGAGGCAGTGGCAAACTGAAGAAATCCTTTCTTTCCAGAGCTAAATTGTTCACTTTCCAACGGGCAAACTCCCTGAAGGAAAAGTCAGGAGATAAGGAAAAGCTCATTATTTCAGAACAAGAAGCATAACTTTGGAAGTAAGTAATATTCTTACTCCACTTACATCCCCCAACTCCCATCTTTCTAGATGGAGGCACCCAGTATTCAAAAGAAACCCTTTGATCTCTCGTTCTCAGGACTTGAGAAAGTTATTGCTCATCTCCATCAGAACCTACTCTTTCAGCTTTTTCACTAGAGAGTAGCTGATCCGCTTGTTCATAGGAAGGGAATCATGTTAGTGGTGTAGTAGTAAAAACAAATAAACAATGAAAACAAGGGAACAGTGACTGCAGTGATTGCAGTCACAACTGCCACTCAGCTGATAAGTCACATCACACATCACAGCCTCAGTTGCTCATTTGTTAAGTCAAGGGTTTGTTCTAGAACAATGTATTGATCTCAGGATTCTGTCACTCTCAAAAATGATTGAGCCCCCTGTATTTGCTAATTACCTTTTTATAAACAAAAACACATAATAAAATCTAATTAATTATTTCATTTAAAGATAACAGCAATAAATTCACTATATGTAAGTAACATGACAATAACTACATGTTCTGAAATAAAATATGCAAGAATGTGGCATCTCTGTATTTTTGCAAATCTCTAATAGCTTTTAGCTCTATTTGTTTCGGCATTCAAATATATTATGATAATTGTGGATATTCTTCTTTGGCACCACATTAAACATAACAAATATGGTTTCTTCCTAGGTAGTTACTGTGTGGAATCTGAAACCATGCCAATGAAGTTGTCATAGTGTGACATTAAAATGCAGTGTTCTCTATTATACCATGAGTGGATCTTTTTACCCTTCATGATTTTTTTTTAAATATTTATTTATTTATGCAAGCACTGGGTACAATCAGAAGCGCGGGAGGGTGAGAGAATTCACTGGAGCCAGAGCAGGGAGCAGAACAGGCAGACTGACAAAATACACTGTTGAGGGGAGCAGCAGGCATGGCAGGAGAGGTCTGCGTGCCATGTGGGACCCTCGCCAGTGGCCAGGGATGGAACCGGCAATGCAGAGGCTGTGGGCAGCTTTGCAGCCCAGTGCTCAACAACTGCGCCACCAGGGGAGGCCCTACCCTTCATGATTTTATATCATGCATTGGTCACTGGTAAACAAGGGATTACTTGTTTACCAAGATCATCTACATTTTGACATTCTTCACTATATAATATCAAAATACCATATTCATTAATATCACCATATCACCACTGATCTCATCAGAAAAGTCTTTAAATGTTAGAAAGCTTTGACAAATCCTGATGACAAATATGGGTTTTCCAAAATTCCAATTTTCTTTTGAAAGCTTCAATTTTATCATAGATAACAAATACTGTCAGATATTTTCCTTGAAGAGCCAGGCTTATTTCATTCTTTCTGTTTTTTGAGTAAACGTCTGCCCTAAAGTCTAAATAATCCTTTTGTTTCTTAGTTGTTGTTTCAAGAAAAATTCAATTCTACAAAAAAAAAAAAAAAGTGGCTGGTTCAGATCACAACTAATTCAAAAAATTATTTTTCCTGGAAACAGACATCTTTCTTTGTTAGCCTCAGATGTGCTCTAGGTACACTTCCCACTTCATCATACAGAATAGTAAACAAATGTACTAAGGGTAAAGATTCAAAAAAGTGAATAAATGTATATTGCTTCTATGACATTTTTAGGTGAAGTTAGCATCCATGCATGCATATGTGTTTAGACAGGAGTATATAGGTGATGAAAAATGCATGTCTACTAGTGTCATTTGTGGAGACTATCTTTATTGAGATTAAATTCCCAGCAGTTTTATTCACCATTGCTATTGCACCTTCAGTGCAAATTGTCAAAAAGGACCCTCTGAAAGGACTCACATTTTGAATCCTTATTTTTAGAAGATGGGAAAGAAAGTTCCTTTCCAGTACTATCTAGAATTTTATTCATTATGCTTTGTTCTTCAATGAAATGTTTGTATTTTAAAGGGGGTAGATTTTCAAAAGGCATTTGTCTTGGGGTGAGATTTAAAGCTCCATTTCTATTAGTAAGAAAGCTGTTTGCTCCTGTCCCCCAAATTACACTAGTAAGGACCAGTTCCATTGCCTTAGGAAACAACAGAATATAAAGTCTTCTCAGCTTTCTCATCCATCCCAACTGTTCTCTACATTAACATGCTAAATCTTGATCTAACCTTCCCCCTTCCCAAATCCATAGAGTACAAATGATAGGTTTGCAGAGAAGTAATTCAAAATAAATTAATAAAAATTCATGCCTAATCCCCCATGTAACTCTAAAGACTGTACAGAGAGGGCATGTGCCAAATATCACTAGGGAAATACAGGAAAATGATGACTTACAAATATTCATGGTTCCAACAAAGTATTTTAAATTCCCACTGTGTGGTTTTATTTATCTAAGCAGGGAAGTTCATAATAATGCATTATCATTTGTTTCCTTTGTACAGGAAATGCTAAATAATAACAAGGATATTTGTCAAAAGTACTTTTTTATCTCACATTCCCTTGCAGCATAAAGAAAAGTTTCATCATCTCATTTCTAATTGGCTGGGTGGCCATTCAGAAGAGACAAAAAGACACAAAAGAATAAACAAACAAAAAAGACCTAACTATATACTAATTACAAGAGACTCACTTCAGTTTTAAGGGCACATATGCTGAAGGTGAAGGCATGGAAAGTAATATCACATGTAAATGAAAATCAGAGCAAAGCTTGTATAGATTTTAAGGCAAAGGAAGTAACAAGAGACAAAGAAGTTTATTATAGAATGATGAAGGGATCAATTCATCAAGAGGATATAACATTTGTAAGTAATTATACACCCATTATAGGAATATCTCAAAATGTAAAGCAAATATTAACATATTTGAAGAGAGTAATAAACAATAATACAATCACAGGAAGGACTTTAACACCTCAATTTCAACAATGGATAGACCATCCAGACAGAAAATCAACAAGGAAGCACTGGACCTAAACTATTTATTAAACCAAATGTCCTTAAAGATATTTACAAAACATCCCATCAGCAGCAGAAAACACATTCTTCTCAAGTTCACACAGAATGTGTTCCAGAACACATCACATGTTAGACCACAAACAAGTCCTGTAAATTTAAGAAGATAGCAAGGCTCTTTTCTACCACAATGGTAGAAAGTAATTATAAGAATAAAACTGAAAAATTCACAAATGGGCGGGGAGGGGGTTGGGAATCAACATGCTCCTAAATAACCAATAAACCAAATCTCTTTTGATGGAAAACAAAGGAGAAATCAAAAAAAAAATCCTGAGATAGATGAAAATGGAAACATGACAGATCAAAACTTACTGAATGCAGCAGCTCTTCCCATTTGTAGTGATAAACCTAAACATAGAGATCTTAAATAAACAAGCTGACTTTTTACCTCAAGACCAGAAGAACAAACTAAGTCAAAAGTTAGTCGAAGGAGAAATTTTAAAAGATCAGAGCTGAAGGGGCCTACCATGGTGGCACAGGGGTTAAGTCTTAGCTCTATCAAGGTATCTTCAGCCACTGAGACTTGAGTTGGATCCCTGGCCAGGGAGGTGACCCACAGGGTGTAGCAGACCTCTCCTGTCTCGCCTGCTGCTCCCCTCAGCAGTGCATTTAAGTGGATCTGCCTGTTCTGCTACCTGCTCTTTCTGGTGAATCCTCTCACCCCCCACACCCACACCTCTGGCCTGTACCCCAGTTCTTGTATGCATAAATAAATAAATAAATCTTTTTTGAAGATCAGAGCTGAAATAAAGGAAATACAAACTAAAAATACAACAGAAAAGATCAATAAAACTGAAATGGATTTTGAAAAATAAAGAAAATGGGCAAATATTTAGCTAGACTACCCAAGAAAAAAGAAAAAAGACCCCAATAAAATAAGAAATAAGAGACTTTACAACTGATACTACACATACAAAGGATCACACGCTATTACAGTGAAGAATTATACATAAAATTGGAAAATCTAGAGAAATGCATATATTCCTAGAAACATGCAACCTACCAATGCTGAATTATGAAGGGAAGGGAAGGCATCTTCCATTTTACCTAATTTCTTTTTTCAATTTGTCAGTCGTTTATATAACTTCATAATTTAGGGAGCACAACTTCACACCTCCATATGTGTTTAGGCTTCACTCATCCTCCACCAAATTCCAGTGCCATTATCCATGATCCTTTCTTCCACTAACCCCTTCCCACCACCCCATTTCCTCAGGTATCAAGTGTATTTTTCAAAGAGACCAAGAATTATTCTTTGCTGCAAGGTAGTTAAATTCTACAAATAAGGGAAACCATCCAGTAACTGTCTTTCAACTTTCTGACTTATTTCACATCAAGATCCACCCCCTTTTGCCCCAAAAGGCACTATTTCATCATTTTAAATTGCTGAGTAGTATTCCACTGAATATAAATTCCAAAATGTTTTTTATCCAGTCATCTGCTATTGGGTATTTAGGATAGTTCCATGACTTGGCTATTGTGCATAATACTGCTATGAACATATATGTGCACAAAACTTTTTGTATTAGTGTTTTCATATTCTTTGGGCAGATACCTAGTGGTATTGCTGTGATACCATATGATAGTTCCATTTTTATTTTTTTAATGACTCTTCTTACCATTTTCCATAGTTCCTTATAATGGTCAAAGTCCCTGACTTAAAAAGAAAGGCCACCTTATCATAGGGGTGGGTCCCACTTCAATCTAGTTAATAAAAATTGGTAGTCACATTCCATCCTTAGTCACTTTATTCATATTGACAATCACTGCCAATTACCTCCATCAAGAATTTAACCCTACCATCCCAACCAAAAGAGTACGCTCTCATTCTCTGTTCCTATTCTCTGCTAAAATTCTTTAGCAGAATTTTTTTTTTAGCTTCTCATGACTATCTGACATAATATGTATTTATATATTATTTCTCTCACTAGGACATAAACTCTCTGAGGGTAGGATTG